TGACAAATATATTTCATGGATTAAATGAATAAATCAAAGTTCATAAAAAAAAAAGCTTGAACATGCCAAATATGTTCGAAAAAAAAACAATAATAACTTCAAACTCTACTGTTATATCGGGTTTAGAATTTGCTAAATGGTTTTGCAGGTCTAGTTTGGTGTAACCAATCAAGATCCATGAGACCCTCGATTCAAGCTTGAAAGATTTTGTTTTTGTTGTTTTAATTGATTTTTTAGTTAATTTTGAGTTTTAATTACTTTTTTATTTAAATTTGAATTATTTTAATTCGGCTAGAATGTAACAACGGAATTATTCTATCGCTGGACCAAACATCAGGAAAATTTACTGATGGAATTTCCCCAGCTGCTCTTGCTCCTCTCTCGCACACCATGATTGTTTTGAGTTCCTTCTTCTCTTACTTGAAAGCTGAAATGATCGCTCATAACATGCTTTATCAAGTATTTCGTGGATCATTTCTACTAATTTGGTCAAAGGAATTGTGTACCAGACATGCCTTCATATTTATGGAGTGTTTTAAATTTTCATTGCCTTTTGGGGTTTGAGTGAAATAAGGGGGCGTCCCTTTTTTATGAGCTATGTTTTACGTTGATGCCTATTTCTTATCACAAAAGAGAGCAACCACCACAACGTATTTTGATCAAGGAAATGTCATTTTCGATGGCCAAAATTGGTATTTTCATGGCAATGTCGTTTCCGTGGGCAGTCAATTGACAAGACTTGAGCAAAGAGCAGAAAAACTCGATGTTCTTACAGTAAAACCCGATCAGATAGATACATTATTGATATCTTGTCGATTTTGCAATTCTACCACATGCTAAAAAAATCGAGGATATATCTCACCTCATCAACTGTTTTTTTTTTTTTCTTCGCATCCAGAAAAATTAGGGGGGAGAAAAAAACTGAAAAACTGATTAAACTGAGAAAACCAAAAAAAAAAAAACTGAAAAAACCGAACCGAAAAAAAAAACTGATAAAACCGATTAAAATTTTGAAAAAACCAGCCGGTTTGGTTCGGTTTCGGGTTTATAATTGAAAAACCGAACCGAACCAAAACCGAACCGAAACCAGAAAAAACCGAGCCAAACCGATTTGAACCGGTTTTCCCCTAAAAAACCGAACCGAACCAAAACCAGTCGGTTTTTCCCGGGTTTCGGTCTGGGGCGGGGGGGTTTTTTTAAAAAAAAACGAATCGAACCGAAAATGATCACCCCTAAAAAAAACTAGGATGTATCTTATCAATTTTGCAATTATACTACGTACTAATATATATATATATAAAGGAAAATTATACTTCATATGAAAGTATGTGGGTATGGGATGCTACTTTTTTCTTTGTTTTTTAAAATTTTATTCTTTTAATATTTAATTTGTATTAATTTTTTAAAATTTTATATTTTTAATTTTTGATTGATTTTAAATATATCTTAATAATTTCTTTTAGTTTGTTGTTTATAAGGTTACTCAAATAAAAATAATGATATGTGGCTTCATACTTGATTTTGCGAATATTTATTATTTTATCATGTAATTATGTTAAATATATTTTAAAAAATTATTAAATCTCACGAGGGTTAATAAATCAAGTTGTGAGATTAATAGATTAAGTTATAAAATTCAAGTTAATCTAATATATTATAATTTCAATAATAAAAAAACAAAATGAGCCATTTTCAATTTTTTTTGGTAAAGGCAAATAACTTTTATTGTCTTTTATCCTATTCACATTTAAATTTATTAAGTTATACTATGATAATTTTTTTATATAATTAATTTTAAATTTTAATTAAATAAGTACTTGATGAGTTGGTTTCAAAATTAATCTATTTTGTCGAGTTCAATAAAAATATTAAATAGTTTTTTTATAAATTAAATATTTTTTTATAGTATTTTAATTCTACTAACAGCGGGGCAATCAACTATTTCCATACTGATAAATCAATGTGTCGTGGGGGTAAGTTTGGACTTGGCATGCTCACAAAACCCAAAAGAAAAAAGGGATTTTGTTTTGGTCTGTTGCTGAAAAAAAAGGTTAAAAAAAAAAGGGGGATCCAACTCCAAGTCTCGTTTAGGTGGAACGGGGGGGCATCTGATCCAAAGCAGGCAGGCAATAATTTTGAGAACTTTTAGGTTATGGTTGGACCTTGGACTCCTCTTGGTGTCCTTGACTCCTCAATTTTGTCCTTTTTCCCACTTCAAAAGCTTTTAATCTTCTCCTCCTGTCCTTTCTAGCGTTTGCCTTGTCCTTGCCCTCCTCTCTTGCCCCTTTCCCCTCTCCCTACCTTTGAGAAAAACAAACTAGAAACTCAAGTCAACAACGTGGCACTCTTGCAAAATAGATCAATCATTGTGACGCGTTGCTTCCCTTTGCACATATTTGAGTGTACATTTTGTATGTTCTGCGGAACACCATCATGATAGCAGCCCGTGGTCAGGACATTAGAGCAGGCTTGTGTTAACTTGCCATTGGAGATGGCAATCCCAAAGGTCCGTTAAGAATTAATGCAGGATATGGTAACCAGTTCTTCCATAATTATGCCATTTATAATTAGTCTGTCGTCATGTCAATGAGGGATACACAGTACTTGTAACCTCATCGCGTCAATTTATAATCTGAAAGTAGTCTCGTTTTGGTAATTTTTATGCTGTTATGGAAATTGAATTACTCTATATATATACTTTTATTAATATAGATTTGTCCAGCTTGTATAAAACTTAATTAATTTTATAAATTATAAAGTCAATAACTATATAAATTTTTAGTAATTTTAAATTTTATAAAATTTAAATTAATAATTTCTAAAAAATAAATTTAAAATCTAACTAATTAAGTTACATCTCTTATTTTTTATTATTTACATTATTACATGTTTGATTAGTTGTTTTGTGGTAATACAGTGAAAAATATACAATATTTCATTCCGTTCCTCTTTTCTTTTTGTTAATATAATACAGTAAAATTATTCTTCTAGCTTGCTAAACATTTACTCATAATGGTTAAATTTAATTTAAAGATTAATCTGAAAAAAAGTTTAGGTCTCCAAATCATTAAATCAATCTACAAATTATTATTTTTTAGTTACACCCGTGTATAATATTTAAAATCTAAGTCCATCTTATAGATTACATCCATATACATAATAAGACATGTAATATAATGTTTAAAATCTTAGTAATATCCTAACTCAACTCTTAAACCTATTCGGAAAAAAAAACTCTTAGAACTAACATCTAGCAAAACCGCCAGCAAGGTTTCTTCTCCTTTGTTTTCTTTACTGTCCACTATTGCAAAGTTAAGATTAGATTAAATTAATTAAAAAAAAACAATTTTACAAAAAAAAAAACATTTTGGAACAGAAATCAAGGTGTTGATTAAAAAAAACACATCATTAGTAGTAAAGGATAAAATTATATTTTTTTCTTGAAAATTAAGGGGAGAAATAACGTTAAACAAAAAAAATAAAAATAACCTGGACTATGCGAAATAACAGGTTAAGTTTGCAAATTAACTTATAAATTCAATTGAATTCAATAATTTTTTTATTAATTTTTTTAATATAAATATAAAATAACAAAAAAAAACTCAAAATGAACTCAAGTACTTCGAGTTTAGGCATTTGAATAAAACAACTTAGACATGCAGGCTTTCCAGTCGAACTTGCACACCTAAGTTTATTTTTATTTTTAATTCTTTAAAGGACATCAGACAATATGTGTCTATAGTTGTCATAAAAACAAGGTTTCTTGTTTTTTTGGCTTAATAACCCATTTATATGCTTTTTTTTAACCAAAAAATCTCGAAATTACCTCAACATCTTAATAAACCTATTTATGGCCTTAAAAAATCAAGAAACAACTCAAAAAATCAAAATAACCTCAAATTCAAAAATAATTATGTGGTTAAATCTGTTTTTTTTTAAAAGACAGGGAAAAATATATTTATATAAAACTCTTCTCATTAAATAAAACTTATCAACACAAATTTCAACCTTTTTGATAATAAGAATCATCAACAATGATCACTTTTTTTTATTTGTCAAAATTAACGGTACCTTTTCTCTTTCTTTTTTAACTAAAAAGTATTAAAAAATAAGGAGTAGAATTTTGATATCAAAATTGAATTTATAAAAATCAAAGGAAATAAAAATAAACTTTTTATATAAAATAAAAAACACCACCAACCAATTTTACCCCTGTTTTTTATTTGGTCATTTGACTTTCAATTCAATCCTCCTAAAAAAAAAACATACAATTGGATGTTAATTTAGGCTCAAAAAAACTTAATTGTACAAAGAAACAGTGTGAGGATGAAATTGATTTTTTTAAAAAAAATCACTACCTTAATACAGCATGATTTATGAGATAATAAACAATAATTTCAGTTATAATATTTTTCTCACAAGAGGCTTAATTTTTGTTAATTAAACTTAAATAAAAGATCACTGCCATCAAAACTTTCACATACCATATGAACACTGCTACACAGCATCACCACACGTTGTACCTATTTTATAATGCAATAAAGAGTTTTGCTAGATATGAGCGAAAAAAGCAAAAGAAACCACCCTACCTTAAATTATACCATATCAACCAAAAGAACCATTACACTTTAAAAGATGGTTCATTTTATATTATTTTTAGATAAAATTTAATCATTTTCTCTGAATCCATGTTATATATTTACAATAAATGGTTTTAAATCTATCAATTTATATAAATACCAACCTCAATAGAGTAATTATATTATTAATTTATGAATCTCTCTTGATATTTGATTTACAAATATTTTACACCGGATCTAACTGTGACAGTTAAGGAACGCCTACAACAGTTTGCTTTGCCACAACCATTATCCAAACAGACAGAAGCAACCCCCCAAGATGAAGCCCTACTGTTCAACCAACCATGGCAAAAGAAATCAAATAAATGCAAACATTACAATCAAAGCACCTGGTTTGCAACCAGTCTCGCGCGGATAACAGCTTGTAAAACCAAATAAAATAGGCTAAAATGAACTAGAATCATGGACAGGCCATAGATTTAATGGGATTCAGATGATCTAATTCTCTTAATTACGATACTTGATGTTTCATGTTTTTTCGTCTAAACTTTTCACAAGCCTTTCAAATGATGGTAACATTCATAACGACGCTATATGGTGCCAGAAAAACGCAATGTATCTCAGCACACTTGCACAGCAGAATCACCAACAGACTCAAAACATCACGATCAAAACTCAGCTATCTGGTCATGTTCTTGATTCTAAGGATAGCCAGTCATCCCAACAGAACTTGTACGATTTGTTTTGAGAGCTGCCTTGGTGGCAGTAGCCTTGGAGAAATACATGTAGTAGTATACATTGAGAATCATTGTTGCCACCACAAACACTGCTCCAGCAATAAAAACACCTTTCCGCAATGTTTCACAGGCAAAGTTTTGAGCATAGATCATCCCAACATACTTGGTATGATAGGCATTTTTCTGTGCACCTGCAATTAAACATGCTTCTGCCACCAGAAAAGTCGCCCTGCAGATGCATAAGATTTTTTTTTTTTTTTAAAAAAAAAAGAGCAAGAATGTTTCAGGTTGAACGATAAAAATGCTAGACTTCTGGAGAAAGAAAATGATCCTTGATGAAATGATACATGTAGGTTAATCACAGTTATCCTCAAAACAGAGTACTAATTTATGAAACCACGTTGGCATAGGTCATCCTCTGCCTCAATGTAGCAAATTGTAATTTACAACATTATGTCAATTCACTAATCACTGATGTGTAATTTCCAACAACATGTCACTTCACCAGCTACGAATGCATGGATCCTGGCAAGAAGATGCATAGGCATGAAAAGAAAGAATGAAAACCATAATGTAATACGAATGGTTTGTGTGTGTGTGTGTGTTCCCGTGCCTGTCTCAGGGATTCACTTGACAGCAGAAGAAATGATAATTTAACAAAGAGAGACTAATTGTGCGTTTTGACAGATAACAATGTATTGCATGAAGTTTCCCTATCAAGAATGGATAAAGAGCATTATCCTGAGCGTCAAAATTCTCACCATGATGAAACAAAATATATGATGGACCAAGCTCGATCTCCACCAGGGGCCAGTGATCTCCCAAAACACATGCATCTTGTGACACCCATCAATAGCGATTCACTTGAAAGAAGAAATAAGAAAGCGCCCACTCCATAACCAGTTGCAACATCAGAGTTGTAGACACAGTATGTAGCGTTTGTTGCATCTTTTTCAATATGGCCCTGTTTGCAGAAAAACAATGTCTTGATGAAAAACAGACACCTTGGATTGCTGATATTACAATTTAGGACTAAATTCTTTATTGCCATGTAAAACAGCAATATGCCTACAGTGCTATTCACTGTCAACTGGAAGGGGACCAATGCAACACCTGTCTGACCAATACAGGCTTTCACCCCAAGTTAAACCTGCCTGCACACTGCCATATCAAACAAGATCACTGATTTCTTATGCGGATTTGCTGTTGCTGAAAAAGCACTAATTGTTGAGCCTAAATCCTGTTTTCTAGAACTTCTTGAAAGCAAGTACAGTGAACTGCAAGCTTTTACTTCCATCTTCCAGTTCACTGAAGACAAATCAACAAAGTGGTGACAAGAAATTCTATAATTGCATATTCAAATTGTTACAGTTCCCTTCTGGTAGTGTAGTGTTTGTTTACCAGGAGCAACAGCCTAAGGTATCCATCAGGAAATTCAGGATAGAGGAACACAATTTCAAGTGGCTCTTAGTAGTCCAGCAATGATTCATGCTAGAGTTCAACCTTTTTTCAGGATTAAGATGATATAAATGCCAAATCAAGAAACTAAAAGGTTATGCCTCAAATTTAGAGTTCCAATTGCACACACATATCTTCATATAGTGGGATCAATTTCAGAGCAGATAAACATCCACTATAAAACCAAATCAAACTTGATTACATGGTGTATGATGTCACCAAAGCAATTTGGTCTTGTTACGATCACTAAAATAATTTTGGGAATCACAACAAGGCCACCCAACTCATTTACCGCCACCATCTAGTTCTGATGCAGAAAGCCTAGTGAGTAGTGACAGTATTGATTAAGGAAAGGGGAAAAAGAGTTACAGCTTAAAGTAAAAACAATTTGATAACTTCAACGGTTGATCTTCCTATCAGTGATACTTAATGTGATGCTTTTTGTAGGGACGAAAGCTCAAGAAGATAATAAAAGACTATGGCAGAGCAACAACATAGTTTCCCAAAGACAAATTGTTCGTGCTACATCGGTTACTAACAAGTCCACGAAACTAAAACTTTTTTCAACCATTTATTTTAGAATAATCCTTCACATTATCAGTCATCACAACTTCACTCGTTGTCAAAACCCAATGCCTTCATACCACCTTCAGTTCAAGTCACAGCATTTCATACCAGCACAAATATACAGGTTTTCTCGCCGTTTGCTAATTTCAAGAAACGCATTTTAGTCAAATTTAACCATTTAGCTAGGAAGCAGCCCAGCTGCCAGGTCACAACTTCAAGACTCTTCTCTACCCCTCGTCAAAAAGGTTGTAGTCAAATTCTCTACCTTCGTACATCACAACAACTGCAAAATTAAACAAAACCCAATAATTCTCACACTAAGTCTTAAAACACACAGATCTCCTGTTTATCTCATCTCACAAAACGTCACAGACTCTAGGAACACTAGAAACAGGGCCCAGAAATTTAGTAACAAAACAGAGATCAATCAATCAAACCACAAAAAATGAGAAATATAAACAAAAACCCTAACACCCTAGCTTGTAGCTAAAAACATACTAAAAAGGAGAGAGAAAGGAATGGAAAGAAAAGAAAAGAAAAGGGGTGCGTACAGTGCTTCTGCGTCTTTCAGCAGCAATGGCGAACCCAAAGGCAACCAGACACAGAACCACCACTAGGAGGTGAACCAGAGTCGACCCTTTTCCCTCTCCCATCTGAAAATTACGAATCTTCTTTTGCTATCTTTCTTTGAGAAAGAAATCGATCTCCTGCAGCTACTGAAGTGAGGACTTGTTTTGCACGCAGGAGGAGTGGAAATAAGCGAGAGGTTGTCGGGGAAAATTTAACTTTTATTAGACCTTTTCAAGACCCACTCGATATTAATGAGTGTGGTAACATGCTATGGCTTGAAACCTTATGTGTTGAGTTGACGTTCAGTTGTGTTTTGCACGCGCCATGGCACTCAGTTTCAAAACAGTAGAATTTGAGATAATCTAGTGAATGAGGTGATTTTTAACATGCAAGATATCTTTTTATAAACAAAGAATAAATTGTTTTAGTTTTTATATAACTAGGATTTAAAAAGTAATTGTACGTGGAGTAGTGTAAAAAATAAAAATTATTTAACTAGCACGCTTTTCTTTTCTTTTTGTAATCCGATAAAAGAGCAGAAGCTCTTCTGTTATCTTTGATTCGAAAGAGGAATAATGTACTACTTTTGTTGTCTTTTTAACTATGATGAACACGACTGATAAGCATTCGGAATAAATAAAAAGTTATTCTGATAAATTTTAATTATTTAATTTTTTTCACATTCCTCCATCGAAGTATTTTCTTCATTCTGTGAGTTATATTTTACTCGGATTACGTTTTAGATAATTCGCATATCTTAATTATGTACCTATTTTCCTATTAATTTTTCAAATCATTTTAAAAAAAATTTCAATTCACTGGGGAAGATTATGTTCAAGAAAACTTTTGACTGTGAAGAAATAGTTTTTAAAAAATCATAACCCATTGAGCTTCATTTGATTTTTTTTCACTTTAACTTTATTCTTTTATAAATTATGTTTTGTATTCTCGATTTGCTAATTTTATCGTATTTTACATTCTAAAGCTTTGGCGCAAAAAAAAATCAATAAAAAAAATATTAGGTTATTTGTATTTATATTTTGTTTTATTTAATAACTAAAAATATTTATATTTAATATTACAATTTTTTCTTTATTTTTTTTATAAAAAAAGGTCACCACCTTCTCAATGATATGGAGAAGTGATGGAAGTTGATAGTGTGGGCTGAAAACATGGGTGGTGCTGGTTCTTACTCTGCTAATAAATAATGACATCCGAAGGCCTTTTACATTTAGGCTCTAGAATTTATTTATTTATTTATCATTTTTATTCTTTATCTTGGTGTTAGCTTTAATGAGAAATGAGTTTTATAGTTTATTTTAATTTATTTTTTATAGTTTTATCTTAATTTTATTGTTAGAGTTTTATAGGTTAACTCGGAATCTCAGTTCATCATTTTAATACATTATCTTTATTTTTATTTTATTTTATACGAGATTATCATAATCTCGTAACTTGCATCATGAGTTTTGTGGATCAGCTAAGGTTTAAGTTTTTTTTTTAATTTTACCATTCAACATTAGGTTAATTGAGAACTTAATTTTATGATTTTTTTTCTTATAAAGTTATATTGATCTCGCGATCCTGGTTTGACAAGTTTATCTAAATTGATTTAAATTTTTATTTTTTTAATTGATTTTTTTAATTTATTCCTTTAACATGGAGTTGGTTGAAAATTATCTTTCATATATTTTTTTATTTTTTTTTCTATGAGTTATCATAGTCTTATAACTCGGGATGTTAACTAGTCTAGTTTGCCTCAAGTTTTATTTTATCTTTTTTTATTTATTTTATTTCTCGTATTGAGTTGATTAATAATCCGGCTTCATGATTTTATTTATTTATTTTTTATGAAGTTATCTTAGCCTCACAATTTAAGTTATAGGATTAATTGATTAATTTAGTTTAGCTCATGTGGTTTTTTAGTGTTCTTGTTTTTTTTAGAACGGTTTATCTCTCTCAAATTTCATTATTTAACATCGGTTTATCTCTCTCAAATTTCAATTTTATTTCTATACGGTTACTCAGTTTCGTGACCGGGGTCTGGTAAATTAATCCGGGTTGATTCGACTCCTTAATTTTTTTAATTTAATCTTGTTTTCATTATCACCCTTTAATGTCGGGTTAATTGAAAATTAACCTTGATATTTATTGTATTTATTTTATATAGTATTATTAAGGTCTCATGACATGATTTGGATATTCCATCAGTTAATTCAAGTAAATTTAAGTAAATTCAGCATATTATTTGTATATTTTTAAAAGATATATTCTTGATTTTTCAAGTTAAATTATATTTTTACTTATCATTAAAATTATTTTTAAATATATTAAGTTGATTATATTACAGTGAGTTAACTTTTATATAATTTTTCTACATGTAAACTATTGTAGCAATACTTGATTTTTTTTTCACATTAAATAAATTTTTTTTTCTGGTCGGGTTTTTTTTCCCACGATCTTAATACCTGCCTGGCAAGATTTTTAACAAATTCGCCGTGTCTTTACAACATTATCCAAAATAAATAAATTGTTAACTCAATTTATCCTATGTTAGGTCCAGTCTCTTACATGTTTTTAAAAGTCTAATTGCTCCTAACATGTCTTTATATTTTTTATTATTCTCTAATCTATATTCTTAGTGGATAGTTATTTAAGAATACGATGAAAATATCTGAGAAACTCAAATCCCCATGCAATCCATTAAAAAATGAATTTCACATAGGACTTTCTTAATAGGTGGAGATACAGTACTTTCGCACACGGGATGCTAGATGGGCCTGGTCAATCTAGTGCCCTGTACTTGACTTGGATTTTAAATTCAGACCTGTCAGACCAGGCTAGGCCTCACGGAGGGCCTTAATACGCTCTAGCTGCAAAGAGTTAAGTTGAACCCAAACCTTTGTCCCGGGTGTAAGTTTATTTTCTAATTTCTAATTAGGACCAAAATGGAACGCCAGAGCTGCTTTATGGTATTTAGATAACAATTATTTTTAAAATATTTTTTATTTAGAAATATTTTTAATTAATATTTTTTTTATTTTTTACATCATTATTATATAAAAATAATAAAAAACATAAAAAATATTAACTTTAAACAAAAAAATCCTAAAAACACGCACGGCTAGCTAGTTCTAAATAAGCTCTCATATTACTATACTGAGCCACATTCATTTTTTTATTTATTTTTTATTAAAAATCTAGTCAGATTTTAAATTGTATTCCGAACAAGGTCCTAGCCTAACAAAAACCTGGTCAGATTTTAGATTCCAAAAGTTCTAATGGTGTGTTTATTTTTATGGTTGAAATTAAAATTTATATATTAAATCCATAAAAAAAAACTAAAATAAAGAATTAGCTTTTATACTTAAGTTTTATACATAATTAGATTATATCCAATCTTAACAATAATTTTAACCACAAAAACAAATACACTATAAACTTCCCCGTCCAAATAGAGGTTTTGATACCAGCTTCAATCCACTAGCTGCATTATCGTACATTCCCAGGTTAATTACTGGAGAATGCTAATGAAAGTGGCACTGCCTTACTGGGTTAAACAACCTAATCAATATAAAATACATTTGTAACCGACCTTCCTATCTTGCTTAAACGAACATGGAAATTTATTCAGAGATTGATTAGATTGCATGGTGCTGGTCACCATGCAAATGATCAGGCCTCAGCCAGAATGGAAGAAACAGCAAAATTAGAATGCAACAACCACGGGCTTTAACCAGTACTCTTCTGTAAAATTTGAACGAACAGTGTAGAGATTATAATCAATCCTCTCTCTTTCTATTCATCCGGTATCTTGTCAATACCCTTCAAGTTCCAAATATCATCATCCCAGACAACATCACTGAACATTTCTCGATAAGCCTCGCCCATATAGTCCACATCCCAAAATGGCAACCAAATGGAACCCCATGACATTTGCTCATCCACAATACCCCTATACCATGGCCATTGATCCTCCCAACATTGTAAATTCTCCATCACCATCTGAGTCGATTCATCACCTGTATTCTCCCTCTCCTCTTCCACCTTCTGAACTGCAGTGCTCTTGTCCTTCTTTTTCGCCTTTGTACTCATCATCCCTGCTGTCGTTATTGCAGTTGTTTTACCTTCAGCCTTAGTTGGTCTCGTATTGCTACCATGATTAACATTTCCTTGACTCTTCATTTTCTTGCTGCAAATAATATTGCGTTTTCAAAAGAATGGAGCTATAATTGATGGGATCGCTGAGGAAGAACGAAGAAGAATTTTATGGTATTGTAGGGGAAGGGAGAACTTGGCGTCTAGAGAAGGTTGGTTTTTAACTTGGACGAGGGACGTATGTGTGGTGTTGAGATCGCAGGCTGTGGATTCTTGTGATCATATATCCACATGCCACTTTCTTGCCCTCTGCACAGGACATGTTAACAAGTGCTTTTCTTGAGGTTGAAGGGTAAATTGTTTACACGAAGGTAGTTTTGTCAATTTGGAACTGAACGCCGTATACGGCTCTGTTCAATGAATTTTCAGTGATCAAGGGACAGCTGGGTTAAAATAAGATCTTGAATGACCCATGGAGATATTGCCACGTTTTGCGGGCAGAATGGGCTTTTTATATAGCGATGTTTGGGATGCAAGACTGCGGCGGGGGCAAGAATAAGATAAGACTGAGGGCTAATGCCACGATGTTTCACAGTTATTGACAATTTCAATGTCTCTTGTGTCTACCATATCGTCGCCAAATGCTGCAGAACTTTAGTGCCGCTTGTTTTTCCCAAGGGGTGGACGACTGCAGAGGTAGCTGAATGGACGGAGGTGCGTGTAAAGCAGTAGGCCACATTTGATGACTCGACATGCATGCTATCTTTGTATTGGCCTCAAATCCAGCTCAGGTCACGACACACTTACCTAACACTGCCTCTTCGTATCCGATACCACCTTTTTCGGTGAGCCATCCATTTTATTGATTGATACCTAATTTCATGGGAAGCTGTAAAATAACCCTGAAAAAAAAAAAAAACGAAAAACAAACAAACAAACAATGAATATAACCTTAATGCCTCATGCCATGCCTCTGCCTTTTCTTGCCAGTGTTTTGGTTTCGTGGTGAAGGATATTTTTTAAAAATAATTTTTATTTGAAAATATATTTAAAAAGAATAATTTTTTATTTTTAATATTATCACTTTAAAATTATTTTAATATACTTCTAAATAAAATACATTT